TGAAATTTTCTTTTTATTATTTCAATTGACCCGAATTTATATGCAATCAACGAGTGTACGAACAAGGACGTTGTTCATTTTTCTTGTACAAATTCTATACCCGTTATGAATTATTAAGACTAGTGGTTACTGAATATTGACAATTGTGCGATAATATATAGTCTACAGTTAAATACTGTTGAGGTCTGAAAATTTGACCGACGATAGTGATCTAGTGGGATCCTATTTCTTGTACAGTCTCTTCGAAAATCTGTAATCAAACTTTAATTGAGCCCACTCCGCCCCCCCCCCAAAAAAATGAAAAAATACACGTGTTGAATCAACAATCAATAGGTATCTGAAAAATGCAATTCATTATATTGCTAATCGCGGTATTGCCCAATGGTAACGACGACAACGGATTATTAGGAAAGGCCGACGATCAACCCTTACAACCGCATCTTACACCCTTATAATGAAATTATGATTATATTCGGTAAATCATTTTTACACACTCATTTATGTAATACATAAATATGATAAATGTTTCAGTGATTTAATTTCTTTCAGTTATAATAATTCCCCAAGACCAGTGACCAAAAAATTAAGCTCTATTTTTTTCTTCAAAATCGTGTTGTACAATGTTCACTACAACAACATGTTTATAATATTATTCTTCTAACGATTTGTCGAATAATATATTGTACTCTACAATAATTATTTAAAGGTCAATGGCGTCGGGTGACTACCTACTTAAGCCCACGTGGCATAACACTGTGTGTGTGGTAATTAAATATTTATCTTTATTATTAATTTTATACAATATTAATTGTATGAACTGTGTTTTAGTGCGGGAGGGGAGGGGAAAGTATACGAATCGCTTATTCAAGATAAGGAATAAATAAAGAAAACCAAAATGTTAGAGAAACAAAAACTCTTTTATTTTTGCATTAGATACAGTTGGTATTTGTTGGTACTTCAGCCGACAGACTTATTTCCTTTTGAAAACGGGTTTGCTTTGCAAATAATATACAAATGCTTAAATCATTAATACTACCCATGTGAGTGATAGTAATTGGGAATCTTTTAGTAGTAACGAATACATTTTTTTAAATAAATACAATACGATAAAAAATAAATGGTGGTTTTTTTTTTAAATGTTATTTTAATCCCTTTCAATAATATTTTAAGTCAACTTTTGTTTGAGAACACTGTGTGACGATCGGTTCGTGGAGGAAACTTTTGATTTAATTGTTTACAACGAGCAATTAGCACACTGGCGTTACGACGTAATGTTTGCTTTGTGAATATATGTTATAATCTATATCTTCTCTTCGTCAAACGACGACCATGTTGCTTTGGCTCTCACACACACACACACCGAGGCTTGTCGGTGTTGCTATTTTTGATGCAATGCCTGGGGACGAGAAATGAAATGATCCGGCTGCGACCATCGAATAATCTCAGGCCGAGAGGATTCTGCGACAATATTTTATCAAAAAAAAAAAAAACCTTTTAAGAAATTGTTTTTTTTTATTAATTTTTTTTTCCATAGTGTGGGTTTTTTTAGATTAAAAAAAAAAAAGTCAGAACAAAATTAACAAAGTACCGCCAGCAATCGCGGTAATGAATCGTTTATTTATGACAAGTGATAAATAACAATTTTTTAGAAAATGACTTTTTTTAAAGAAAAATACAGTACATGTTCTGTAGCTTTGGACGGGTCGTTTACTTTTGAAAGGAGTCGAATTCGTATAATAGCCAAGTTTATAGAGCCATTCAAATGTTTAAAATATTTACGAAAAAATATTATACTCCTAAATTAATGTTTTTTTATATTTTTTGTAAAAATATATGTTAAAATTAAGTCTGGTCTACATTGGTAATGTAGTTTTGCCATACACTTTCCCAGCAGAGATTCGTTTATGTTAAGTGTCAAATTTGTTCAATCAGAACTTTCATTGTTGGTTGAAAAATACATTTTGTAGAATCGATTTTCTCAAATTTAAATAAATATAGTCCATATAAGAATTGAAGAATATTTTTTTAAGTAAAATTGTGCGTAAAAAACCATTACTTGTTCAATTTTTCGGAAGTTTTACTTTTATTGAACTAAACCCTTTTCGTAAATAACCGATTCGAAAACAATTACAACTATTTCCAAAAAAATTAACGTATCCGTCAAAAACATATTAAACATCGATAGGTAAAAATTCTATATGAATTACCTATTGTATTAGAAATCGTTGTTTTAGTTTTTTTTTTTTTGAGTGTTTTAAAAAATTCTACACCTTTGTCACAGGAACTACGTGAATCAAAATTCTATCAAACTTTCTGACCTTGCAACCAAAAGCTACATAATTTTTAAAATTTATAAATTGTTCAAGTGTGTTTTATCGACTTCTCAATGGGAAAGGAGAAGAATTTTATTTTCATTTTTTCACCCCACCGAGAACCTTTTTGGACGGGATTTCCGAACAATAGAAACCGGCTGGATTTTACAAGTTGAAAATCAGGGCATAAAACTTTGTTTACATAAGAACACGTTGATGGTAATAATAATAATTATAAAATACAACAACGGTTATTTTCCATTTTAAAACATCAACTCGACATGACATGGCTCTATCCTATTATGTTGCATAATAATATTGTGTATTTTACTACAACATTGAGAAGAAAGGCTATTTGTGTAGCGGACGAAAATAACTGAAATTGTCAGTTTAACGCGATCAATTTTAATAATGTAATATAATAATAATTATTTTAATGCAAATTACGTCACTCGTCGTTGGAGTATAGTATGGAAAGCGATTAATATCGGTCTACATGGCTCTAAATATAGAAGGGTTAAAAACCCAAGTTCGAACGTTCAAAATATTACATCCTACTATATTATAACGTCTAGGGAGTGTTTTTTTTTGTCTAGTCCGTCTTTTTATACCGAGAATTTTCCTAAAAAAAAAACACCATTTGTTTTATTGGAATATTTTCCCACAGTTATATTTATATCCTGATATCCGTGGAGGACTCGACCTAGAGTTTCAATATATATATATATAACGATAATAATTATTATTAAATTCGCCAATGAGGACACACTCCAGCTGACATACTTAAAAGCTAAAATAACTTAAAATTAGCGCATGTTAGTTGTCGACCTTAGCTGCTGTTGTTTTGCATAATATGTTTTTATTTATCTTTTTTTTTTTTCAAAGACACGCGTTTTCGAACCATCAAATAATAACGTTATAAGAATAACAAAACCAACGAGGCATATGAATAATATAATAATATTTGAGGAAATTTATATTTTATATTATTAAATAATAACGAATAATATGTTGTTTATTGAAACTCGGTCAGTCCTGAGCATCATCACTCACACCGTTAAAACATAATAATTGTTGAAGATTATAATATTTATAATAGTCATTTGTTTGAACTATTGATTTGAAAATAATCAATCTATCCCTTGAATATAGGCCTATTATCTTATCACTCATCTCTTATCAGCTAATAAACGTATAAAAAATTAAAATTAAAGCTTGAGTTGTAATTTTTCCATTAAAATTTATTTATTTTTTGGCATTAATACACTTTATTTTCAAGTAAACAGTGATTTATTATTTCTAAATATGGCGCAGGTACGTTAATTTTGAGGCAATACATTTAATTTAACAATCGAATAAATAATTTTTTAATAAACAAAAACTAACGGTCTCGTTAAATACTTAATTTTATACTTGTTAAAATAAAAAACCCAATCTTTCTCGTTTCTGAAGACATTTGACCGTGAACACGTCTTGTGATCATTTGATTTTCTGTCTGTTAACATAACTTTCTTATCAGCTGATCCTCTTATCAATACACACTTCAGTTATCCAGGAATTTCCGACCCCCCTTACCATCACCACCTCATTCTCTCCCTTCCCCACAAACAAACCAAAAAAAAACTCGAAATAAAAAATTTAATGTTTTAAATTATTGTCAAAAGGTATTATTGCAATTTTTTTGGGGGGTTTTTGTTACAAATATCATTGATGCCCTTAACGTTTTTATTCGTGGCGACATATTATAATATAGTTTAGTGTACACACTAGTCGCTAATGCTTTGATTTAGTACCGGTGTTTTTTTTATTATAAAAAAAAATATAAATAAAACAATTTTATTGCAAGCGGTCACACGTGCGTGCATCAATTCTAGTGTGGATCATAAAACATGCAACTGAGGAAAATATACATTGAAATAAACGCTGGCATTCGATTTATTAGATATGTAAAACGTGTACTTTATAAATAAACACATATTATGTAAGTATGGGAATTATACCTATAAAATCGAAAACGAATAATAGGAATAACATGGCAGTTCATAAAACATGCAAGAATGCATTGTGTTCACACATCTGAAAATAGAACATCCATAGTTTTATTTAAATAATTTTGAGATATTACTCTAATATTTTATAGTAGATTTATTTTTATTTTCCATTAAGCTATTTTGTTTTTATAGTTGAAATATTTTTAAAAAGTTAAAATTAATTTTTCGTCTTTGATTTTTGTCTACTTAACTCATTTTGAATATAGAAAATAGCGAATTAACTTTTTGGGGTTTTTTCCTGAAACATCTCACTTAAATCCAAATTTTCACCGAGCACCAAAGAAATATTGTACATGATTAAAGTATATTTTTACTATTTTAAGTGTTATGACTTCAATTTAGAAAGTAAAAATTAGGTGTTTTTTTTTTTAATGTTAACTTTTACGCTTACAATTAGCATATCTACCTTAAAGAAATTATATTCAAGTATACATTCCAGTTTTTATACAGTGAACTACTTGGTTTTTTTTTTAAACCGAATTAAATCTTAATAGTTTTAAAAGAAAACCCATTTTAACAAGAAAAACAACCCTTTTAAACTCGTAACTCTTATAACAACGTCTTTTATAGTGTCGCTTACAGCAACAATAATAACAAGCCTTATAACTGTTAATTCTCCACTCGAGAAAAACCTTACCTTCATCGGGTTGGCTAGAGGTCCGCCGTAAACTTGTTCTGAACTTCCTTTCAACAGCTGCGCCAACAGCTGTGGACTGGGTTCGGGCGTTTTTTTCATTCTCGCGCAACCCTCGAGCTGACTGGGACTAGAAGTGGTTCTCTGGTGAAACACAATCGGCTCGTTGGCGCCATGCTTCTTGGGAACCGTCGCCGACAGCGGCAAGTTGGCGCTGATCTTTCTCTTGGGCGACGTCCTCAGCCTCAACCGGTCGGCGGCCGGTTGATCGGGCGAAGTGTGACTTCTTCTCAGCAGACAGTCGTCGGCCGACCGGACCGCCGGCTGTTGGGAGAATTCGTCCAGGAACCCGAGGTCGTCTTGCTTCTTGCCACCGTTGACCTCGCCGGGTTTCTTCTTCTCGTTCACTATCATCTCCAGGTACGGACCCCGGAGCGGTCTTTTCGAGTACGGAACGGGCGGCCCGGCGACGGCACACTTTTCCGAGTCGGAATTGTTGTTGTCATTACACGTTGGCGAAGACGTGCGCTCTCGGGTGGCCAGCGACGCGTGGTGACTGCTGCCGTGGTTGCCTTGGTCACTGTCGCCCTCGGAAAACGAGTCGGCTTTGGTCAACAACAGTTGCCGGTAGCTGTTGATTTTCGGCGACGAACATGACCGGTCTGCTTCGTCCTTCTCCTCGGAACTCTGCGCCGACAACTTGGGACGCAACAGCGGTAGCTCCGTCAGCGACGACCATTGAGGCATTTGTGGCCGGTATTCCGGACTGTTGGGCGGTTCCGGTTCCGGGACGGGCGAACCGGGCGCGCTCGGCTCGGACGGCGACGGTTCCTCCGGCGACTCGCGCACTTCCGACCACTCTTCGATGGTAGGCACGTCCGACGACGATTGCCCGGTCGACTGGTCGGACTTGGCGGGCTTGTTTTTCCGCCTGGGCGCCGTGGGCGCGTGGACCGCTTGCACCGCGGTCAGGTCCTGGGAATACGCCCTGGCGGGCCCGGACAGGTGTGGCGGTTTCCGGCCCGGCGACACCGAGTCGCCCGTGCTCCTCTTGCGGCCGTCGGCGATTCTCACGTACTTGCCGTCCGCCGGCGAATAGTACACCTGCGAAAAGGACGCGCTCCTGAACGGCGGCGCCGAACGCTGACCGGCCCCGACGTCGGCACCGGTCGCCGCAATGGCCGCCGCGTCGAACGTGTCCGACGACTCCTCGCCGCCGCTCAGTTCCGCGGCGCCCGTCGAGGGGTGCGCATCGTCGTCGTCGTCGGTGGTTCGCAACGGTCGCGTTTCGCCAGCTGGTGGCTGCTTCAACTTGTCCGTCAACTTGCGCAGCCGGTCCGATTTGTCGGACGTCCTCGGGGCCGCGTTCGGTTTGTTCTTTTTGTTTTGGGCGCCACCCGCCGCTCTGCCGTTGCCGCGACCGCCAAAGCGAAACCTTTGGAACCGGTCCAGAGTAATGGTTTCTCGGTCTTTCGGCGGTGGACTGATACTGCGATTGTCGACGGTCGACGGTGGTACGCCGAAACAACCGGACGACGGTTTTTGTACGCGGTTAGACCAACTCAACGTGCTGCGGTACACTGGCGCCTGTTTACGGGGCAGGCAAGCCGCGCCGCCACCGCCGCCGGTAGTGTGTCTATTATTAGAGCCGGTCGCAAGAGGGATTCGGGATGTTACTCCGCAGCAGCATGACGACTCTATGGTGTCCAGACGATCCTTCGGGAAACCTCCGTTAGATGGCGCCACGGCAACCTGCTGCTCGGTCTTGCCCGTGATCGGCCCGAACCGGACCCGCACCGAACCGATGCTGAAGTACTGAGGTTGTCTGTAACAAAATAACATCAACAATTCAACTATCCAATTGTTCCAATAATGGGATTAATATCGTATATTTCTATTATCATTGGTGTGCAAACGATCGTCTATCTACCTTGGATTTGTTTTCCCCTCTTCGTTTTCAAATACCCGTTGATTCATTCACATAAAGTAACTAGGATATTCAATTCGGTCAATGTGTAATTTTCCTTTTTTTTTAGCTAAAAATAAACGCTTCTCTTTCAAAATTAAAGGTGAACTCTTTTACATTTTTGGCCCTATAAAAAACTTTTTCTGTACGATTTCTCTGTGTACCTATTTGATCAGAACAATAATTATCACTATTTTAACACCTTTCGAGTTCAACTCCGAACTACATGTTAACATAAACACTGTGTCCATTGATACCCGTATTGTTTTTTATACGTTAATTGTATCTTAATTGAATTAACGATACGGGTTACCTATACAATAGCTTCACAATAAACAAACATTGTGTAAAATATCCACCGCATATATAGTAATATAATAGATTTATGTACTAAACAGTCCGTTATAACATGTTAATGAAAACTCAATACGAACGAATCGAGGGCAAAACACTATTATAAATGGACGCCGGGCGTTTCGAAAAAACCCATAAACTCATTATGAAAACAATAGATTAATATTCAAATTTATCAAAAAATGAATAACCCCTTTAAAATATTGTTTTAGTCTTTTTGTGTCGAAACACGACCAATCACTATTTTTTTTTTATTCAGTCAGACTACCTGTTGAAGCCAACTGTTCAAGCGGATTGTTAGGTTTTTGTCTTGCTAAAATTTCCACCGTGAATTTTTTTAGATTTAATTACATATTGGGGCGTGGGAGACTACAGGAATATTATATGTAGGAATATATTATGTGAAATTGATAAAACAACTTTCAAATAAATGCTTCATTCGCACATAGCAACCACAAAAGTTACTATGGTCAAAGTGCAATAACCCTCTTGTTTAGGTTTTACCTTAATAAAATAAAGGTTGAGCGCTGATTTTTAAAAAATATGTTATAGCTTTGTTACAGATCTCCCGTCAGTCAAATTTTCAGATCTTAAGTAGAACTACAACTACACTAAGATAAATAAAGTAAAAACTACGCCTATTTTGGCGGCAAGGGTTTTTGATATTTTTTTGGTTTATCAACGTTTATCGATAATACTTTATCTTACAAACGAAATACTTTTTTGGTGCGATTTTTCATATATTGACTTGCTATATTATGAAGGAATCGATTCAGCAGTTTAGAAGCTATCATGGGCCCAGACAAAAAAACAATTTAAAAAAACCAAAGCCTTTTCAACAACACATTGAAGGTAACAAAAATTGTTTATTTTTTCTTATAGTTTTGTTTTTTTTTTCGCGATTGGCGATCTGAGAATTTGAAAATTATAATATCCTCTTATAGATTCTTAATCGAACGCTTGTAGAAAATAAATTCAAATATAAATTGATTTTCCACGGAGATGGTTTGTGCATTAAGGCGCACACATTACTAGAACTAAAAAGCTACAACTCAAAATGCAGAGACTACACAAAAACGGACTGAAACACCAAGCAACGGTGAGACATTTTTTGGCGAAATGTACGTTTTGTCAATAACACAGAGTTAAGGCCACCTTTAATGTCGCACGACCATTGATTAATTACAAAACTGCTGTCATCGGACATAATATTATTAGCGCTGTGCAATTAATATGAGCTTCGGATAAGACAAAAAGTTAAATTTAATTTGTTCTTAAATTAACTGCGTAAAAAATAGCCGATGATTTGCTTTTAACAAAAATGATTCCGAACAAACATGTTGCCACGTGACAAATGCTAAATGCGTTACTTATTCAAAACGGTCTGTCGTTGTACTGCACTCTCATTGCCGTCAAGATTTCTATTTTCAGTCTATAAAAATGGTGATTTTCTTTTACAAATTACCGTCTCGTGTTAATAAAACACACAATGCAATAAAGCAATGGCGTCTTTTGCAAATAATACAGCAAATATAATATACAAAAACAGGGGTAAAATTAAAGTATAAATATCATAAAACAATTGCCTAACGCTTAGAATGCTAACTTATTACAACCACGATGAAAATGTCGTTCCTATTCATCCCTTCGGTTCAAGTTTGCAACCCTTCCGGGGTTTGTTATTTTCTTTCGTTTTCACTGTATACCGGCAGTACTGTCATTCTCCCGTTTCATTCTAAATCCTAACCCAAACGAGACCGTGGCTTAATTTACCTACTTAAATTAAAAACTTTAGGACCTACCCCTCTGACTCGTCCCACGGCACGGGCTGCTAACTTCGACGGTAAATAAGTTCTCTATTTCCACACATAAATAACCAGATACACCTAAATAAAGAAAATGTTTCCATCCCTTCTGGGAGAAATAATTTTTGCTCTGACAACGTTTATCGATAGCAGTATGTCCAAAGAATATCCCATAAAGATAGAATTCGACTAATTTTGGCCCAACAAAGTACCTATAGCGGCTTAGCAGACATTGTGGGTCCAGACACAACAAAAGAATTTTTTTAAAAACATCATTGTCAGAACAACTCCTTCTCAGCTCCACCCCCGCATCGAAGTTAAACGAACTGAACATACGGTTAGTCATGGTTAATTATAAGCGTTTGGTGGTAAAAACACTATTGTTATTTCGACAGGGGCGCTTACCTGATCCAAGTGGTGGCTTGTTGTCGGCCGCTGCCGTAGTCCGTGTTGGCCAGCAGAGAGGTGTTGCTGTTGTGGGTCATCGTCGCCGCAGATTGACCGTGTGTTGTCCGGCCATTCGTTATCACATGGTGAATTTGTATTATCTCTCTCGACGATGCGCCGAATTAAGATGCACGACGGTCACACGGCGGTCTCTTGAGTTTCGGGCAAAGGTCCAAAATAGAAAAGAAAAAAAAAAAGCTTGTCCACATGCAAGCACACAGACACACAGGTCCGTTCGGCGGGGTGGTGGTAGTATCCAGAGAGGGAGATAGAGCGAGATATGGGAATCTGTCGTGGAATGTGCGAAAAAGAGTGTTTTTAATTTTTTTTCTATTATTATTACAGTTATACAACAATTATTTTTCCCCTCGCTCCCGGACCGACTTGAGACGCGGCATTTTATATTTAGAACGCAGTTTTGTGCGAAACCACTCGAGACCCGATCGGCGGACTTGTGTGTGCGCACATTCCCCACTCGGCGAAGGGCAAATACTTCTGGAACAAAAAAAAAACAAATAATAATTAAAATAGTATATATTTTTTTAGCTTGCTAAGCACATGTACCGTACGGTGCATATCCCGTTTTTTTTTTATTAGGCGGCATTTATTATTAGTTTTTTTTTTAGTACTTACTGTACATAAATATTGTTTTTTTATTATTTTATTTTTCTAACCTGACGGCCGTTTGTACACGACGCCGCCAGAGTCTAGAGTTCATTATTTTTATTGTAATATATAATAATTAATATTATCGTACGCGTGTATTTAATTTATATATGTCTTGCCTCTCTGGCGTGTGTGTGCTTGGAGCAAAGACTAAACGGCTATTTGTTTGCACACGAGTACCAAACGCCAAGACGGTCTAATACACGAAGAAACCCATCCTGTATTCTCTGGGCTCGCTGTATATAAGTAAGCACCCGGTACAAGGTTTTTAAAGATGGAGCCATCAGACGATAGGTCTCAAGGCGTAATAAAGTGACTTGAAATAGAAAACAAGAGATGTCTTACAAATTATTGGTAAGTACGTTATGTAAATGATAATTAATCAAAAACTTTAAACGACTAAGTCGATAGAATTTAGGTAAACTCGTTTTAGTTAAACTATATATCTACTTTTTGTTTTGTATTTATTTATTGTTAAAAAAAAAAATGAAAATACTTAGCTGCATTTTTAACGACTGTTAATTTGATAAAAGAGAAAATAATTTTTATTGCACTTTAAATGGATTTTTTTACTTTGTTTTAAACGGTTTTTTAATACTACAAAATGCAGAACAGACGTTTAGCTAATGTTTAAAGTTTATTTATTATGCTTAAGTTTAGGAAAAGCCGAGGCCAAAGTCCACTATAACAGCAAATTACTTTTTTTATTGACATCTTACCCGATATATTACAAAGAAATCCGCATAGATATTGGCGACAGCAAAATACAACTTATGATAGAATATATAAATGGATACATATAGTATCCATGAGACGGGCAACCGATGAAAATAATAAGAATTGTTATACTTCGAACAATACGACAAACCAGTTGGCAACCTTGCTTTGTGCGTACCTATTCATTGCATTGAATTTCCAAACAATAGTGCCTGAAGGGATTGTTTTTTTTATTAATTTTTTTTTTCCAAGTCCGACAACGTAGGTTTTTGAATCATATTATATTTTGTACCGTAAAGGAAAATACAATTATAATTAATAAAAATCGAAACAAAACGTTATTCGATAAAATTGCAAAAAAAAAAACTCCATCTATATAACAACTCTGACGGGTTAGAGTAAATAATTACTCCGAACAAATTGTTGTAAATGGCAACACTGTAATACAATTAATTAATTACATAATAGTGCAAGTGATTTTTTATTTTTTGTAAATATCCAAATAACTCACTAACCCCTAATTATGGGGTAAGTGCGTCACTTACCCTATAACTTATATTTTTAAAAACGGACTCTTCTAAAAATGTAAAAGAACATTTATATAGAGTATTAGCTAGGCAAGTCAAAACTTACGCGAGCGTTGGTATGGCTCACAATTCAGAAAGATTAGATAAAAACTAATCAGTCCTGGAACCTAATTGAAATGATGAGAAACAAACATGAGATTAGATCAAACAAAGAAGTCCAGGAACTTTAAGGGAAACCAAACATAATAGCTGAAATCCAAAACAAGAAACTGAACTGAACGCCAGGTGGGAAGGTCCTAAGACAAGACGGCAAGAAGACCTAAGCAAAAATGGATGGACAAGAGCATCAAGAAATCGGGACAAGTAGGAATAGTACCATTTCAGTAGTAGAATTCATAGATTAGGATAGAAAAAAGTGGGGGAAAGCATGTTTTGCAGCAACGGACCTCGATGGTCTCTGGAGTGCTGGAAGAAGAAGAAGAAAAAATGTATTGGCAAATTTTGATTATGGAATACGACGAAAAATAGACGGTCCTTGAAAAACTGCCAGGCGCCAGCTATCATTTAAAAAAACGTATTTATGTTTATTAGACCAGAAAAAAAACACACTAACTTCTAGTTCGCGGTGACAACGACTCAAGCCGTATCTACTCTCTCTCTCTCTCTCTCTCTCTCTCTTTCTGTCGACACCTCCTACACGTTAACAACCTCATCTACAGCCTGCCCTTGGTCGTTCGAATCACTTTCATCGCCACGGTTTTGCCTTTTTCGAAATCTTATACCGTTGTACTTGGGGATATGCGAAATACCAACGCGCACCGGTGTGTCCTCTGTTAAACCCCAGGCGTTAGAAAGCAGCCGAGTTCCCGCGCAGGTGGTTTCACGTTACAAAAACGACAGTAAAAAATACATCTTATACTTACAACGCGATTGAAAACAGTATAACTTCCCCGTCCGACTATTATTATCAATCGGACACGTTATGTATGATTAAACTTTGCTTTGTTTTTTCAAAAATGTACACACAACAATATAATATGATCCAAACGACGATGAATAGGTGAAAGTAACAAGCAATAATTGGTCAGGCGCTTATGAATATATATATATAGGTGGACCGTCGGTCAGTGTTGTCTCCTGTATGTGTAGGTTTTGCATTGCTACTTTATAAAATATTATCATAGATTAATTAGTCAACGTCCGTGTTATTATTGGGAAAGTATGCATTGGCGCAACTAGAGGGAATGCTGAGAAAGATCAAATCCTTCTTAATTCGTTCAGACTCTAAAATAATGTCAGCGACCAAACAGACACATCCCCCAAGTAAGGTTTATAATTTTTACTGAAATTCTGAGGGAGCTTTCAGAGTTTTAAAAACGTCTGAACTTCCTCAGCACCCCCTCTAGTTGCGCCAATGAAAGTATGTACAACGCAAAGATTAGTAAAAATTCGGGTCGCTGGGTACGCTCAACGGGGTGGGAAGGCATTAACTAAAAGTACATTTTTTTTAAAATCTTTGTACCTAATTTTTTTTCCGATTGATATTTTGAAAAACGCATTTAAGGTCCACTCGGAAATCTTGTCTTCTATCTTTTTTATGAAAGACGTTCTATCTCCAAAATCACACTTCGAAAGGGACTTTTATGTGTTTTGTCTAAACATGTTTTTCCTATTGAAAATCGTCGAAACGGCGGTGGTTTTTACAGCTGAAATGTTTTCTTGCGGAGCTGAAAAGACATTTTTTTTTTTTACATTGACGATATTTTTAGGACTTGACGTGTGAAAATTTAACTGACGATAGATCTATTAGAGTGGCGAGTATAAGGTTTTTTGTAAAAATCTGTAGTCAGATATTGTTTTGTTAAAAAATAAAAACAAAAGGAAAACTGCACTTGTTGAATAATCAATCAACAGGTATCTGAAAAATATTTCCATACCTTCCCCGCTACAGTATGCTCCGTCTCCTCTAATTGTAAGTCCTGACCTCACTGTATAGGTTTTTTTTTATTATCGTTTTTTTTTTTGAAACGGTGCCAAAAAACTAACGCGACCGTTTTACAACAAATTGCACTTAGCCCGCCGTAGTATTTAGATTAATAATTCCCCCCCCCCTTTTTGTGTTATTGCCACCGTGCCGAGTTTGTGAGTACTATTTTTGTGACCGTCGACATTAAAAGATGTACACGCTTTAGTGCTACAAAGTGTTATATCATGCTGCCTGCACATATACGAGTATTTAACCGTTTAAATCATATTATGATTTGTTAGGGTTGATACGATTAGGGATGATCGTCTGCCCATAATAAAAAAACATCCAAACTATCACTGACATAGTCGAAGGGGTGAGGATGTGTTGTAACTACCCTTTTTAATATTTTTAGCTAAATTCTAATTTGATGAACCCGCAATAAAAAAAAGAGCCTATTAAAACATAAAATGATCCGATCGATTACTTAATGAACTTATTTAATTACAAGGCCATGTTAGATTTTTTTTTAATGATAACTTTGGTAATAGTAAATAATTTTTATTCTAAATAAAAAAAGTGCTGTTTACCGACTTTCAGATTTCTAGTAATTAAAACAAAAACTTCATCTCATAGCAAAGCGTTAGGTTAGTACTGTCATTTAAGTATAATAATTAGATACAACATAATTTAGATACAAAAAAACTGTTACAATTGTTTTGACCATTTTATAAGAAAATCCGTCGAAGGGTTTTCTTGATTATGACATTTTTAACTCTAAACTTAGTAAGTAGTCTTTTTTTATACGATTTTTTTTACCTACCCATTTTAATAAGGTTTAAAAATAAAAAATAAATATTTAACAATAATTATTGTGGGCTTAACTTTTGTGGCTTTTACTTTACTAACATACCGCCCGTTTGACATAAATTATTGTGTTTGTCATTTTGCCTACTGCTGGAAACATTCTCATAACCAAAACAAACGTAAAGTCTAATTTGTAATTAATATAACAGATGTTTGAACTATTACGATGCAATTAATTAATTAATACAACTAGTATATTCAAGATTAAAATAATAAATTAATTAGAAAGCAGTTAGAAAAAATATTATTAGAATGTCCCAATTTAATCAAACGGACAGAGGACTTCGTATTTACAGTGAAATTTAGCACAACTATATAATTCAGAAATCAGCACACTAAGCAGTTTCAACTTATAATGAATAGCAACAGACATAAAAAAAAACGCAGCACGTCATTGCAAAGTCATAATAATATACTTTTTTACCATCACATGGTAGCAAAAATTGTTGAACGCTTATAATATAGTTGTATTATATCTTTCACCTATTATAATACTTAACTACAGTGATAAAACAAGTATTAATGTTTTCTATATTAATATAGTGGAACAATGACGCTTTTTGGTTTCCAAATTTATAATCGGCAAAAAGTCAAAGTAATAAATATTTTACTATAATATTATTGGACTTTAGAAACTCGAGTAAAGTTTGGGTTCTCGTTTAATTATTTAACTACACAGAAGAAGTATAAATGATTAATAGCTAATAATAAAATAATGAAAGTAGAATGGGCTGAAGTAACGATCTGAATGCACACTGTCATTGTATCAATCAACATTGTTTAAAAGTCAACATTATAACTTATATAGAGTATTGCAAGGTTTCGTGATTGAACAGTTTTGGATTTTGAAATAATAGCTTAGAATATACCTATATTATATGTATATAGTTATTAATAATTTTATTTATTGGTATAAATTACATTTTATATACATTTTTGAAAATAAAATCTAATCATATTCAGCAACAACAAACGTATGGTTAAGTTATAACAATGCTACTTTTAATAACACTTTTTTTGTGTGTGTGTGTGTGATTTAGGTATTCGACCAATCATTTTTGTACTTTACAAACAATAATATGAGCGCCATAAAAAAAAGAAACAGATTGCACATTGAATCAAAACAATGAAGATCTGCCACAGCAGCCATTCACTATAACATGTACTGTCGGGTTAACTCTTAAAATTCCTGAAGTAATAAGCGTTCAAATTGCAAATAAATATTGAAAAATGTGAAAACTGCCAATTTTTTCGGGTATTTTACAACCAATCTTGATCCCTTTAATTAATCATTCCCTTAATAGTTGTACATTTAATTTTTTCCCATTCTTATTTACTTTCCACATATGTTTTTTTCTCGGTTTGGGAACTAAATGTGCATTGTACAGTATCCCCGATTTAAAAATAAATTTCTTAATCAACCCTTCTGCTTGATCATTTGCTGCCAAGCGCACTGACATTATTTGTGTTCTTCGTGCATAGACCACAGTAAACTTCTTAGCTGTGTTCCATATCAGTGCTGTGTTATTGTTCATTAGGTCTTATGTGAAAATATGTGCGTTGTTCTCGGGTAGGAGAAATCACAGGTCTTCGGGAATTATTATAAATTAATATGATAAAATCTAAAATAGAATTTTCGAAATTCCGTGTTGCACACGTGTGGTCTTCGTAGCAAGCACAAAAATAGGGTTCTTATTGCTATGTGGCTCATAGCGATGTAGCCTATAATGGAGTTAGTATCACATTACAAAATCGGATAAACTAAGCGTTGCATGGTCAATACAGCCAATGTAATCCACTGTAACGCGATGGCTTATATGTAAAACAAATCGTTTGTTAATGGCGTTGCCATGTTCACATCTATTGTAATCTTATTTTTGTATAATGGCGGCAACAACGAATGTAGTATGACAACCGAATTACTTTCGTAAAAAACCGTTTCAATTAGTTTAATTTAAAATTCTACCCGTATTCGTTTATGCAATGGAAAATATAAAACGTTTAGGGCACCGCATATAACCGAGGACAAAAAAGCGCTCTTATACTCTATGTCGAGCCGTCAAGGAAAACCTTGAACTTTGTCAACGTTTATTGATATTACTTTATCTAAACAATAGTCCATACACGTTTGGAACTCATTCTAATATTTTTTTAAACTTGAATTTCAGGTTGAAAAATATGTACATTTTTCTCGATTTTTGACGTAAAGGGATCGGTTCAGCGGTTTAGGAGATGTGGTCGTGGGTCCAGAAAAAATAAATTATAAATAAAAACACATTTGTGAAAACAATACCGGCTCGGTTATCCGCGTCGGAGCTAGAAAATAATAATTATAATAGGTACTCACTTCGACAACTAGATTTAAATAGGGTACCTAGGCAGGCAGGCAGGTAGGTAGGCATGTGCATGTAGGTAGTTATTAATTACACGTTGGATAGTACAAATTATCCGCACCGTATACGGTATATAATATAACGCATTTACACGTCACAGTATGAACTTATATTATAATAGCAGCATTACCATAACGGTAAACGGCCCGCTTTCTATGAACTTTTCACGGCGACGAAAATGTATGTTAATACCAGCCGACACACAATAATAATCAAAACAAACATGGACAGAGTACGCAAATGCTTTGGCGCTACGTTAGATATTTTTTATTTTTTATTTGAAAACGATATTATTTGTTTTTTGTTTCACAAGAATTGCGAAACACCGTTTCCCGCGGTGCACTAATCCAAATTGAACCACTGCCAAAAAAAAAAAAAAATATCACTAGCAAAATAACCGCGTAGCGAATATCCCATTAGAGCTGTGATGTATTCAGAGTGTCAGCTAAAATGTCAGTTTCCCCGAGTACAGCCAAAATTAACCACTCTCACAACACGGTCGGAAACCTTTGGTGGTAAGATAATTACAAAACAAGAATAATTTTATGTCCGAAATAGTCGGAAAAAATTTAGGTATAGCACCGACATTTGACAAAGTATGTTCACCAGCTCACCAGGTCATGTGAGGTCATCAACGGGGGGAGCGCGTTCATGTGGGTTGAACGCGAATGCAATTTTCTTCAGAGAAAACATAATCGCTGACTTTTACTATATTAACAACGATTCGAAACGTCCAATAAAAAGCCGAAAAATCGGTTTAAAACTGCATTCCTATATTTTGCCGCTTTTGGTTACCTAATCCGAGTACGATACTAAACAATATTTTGGAATTGACATTGAAAAAATCAAACCATTTAACAGAAAACAATTATGTCAGAACTAGAACTAAACGGGTTGGACGGAATTTCATCAAAAATGTATCAACCAACAGATTATAGCACGCACCTGTAATAGGTATAACACAAATTATGCGCTTTTTCCATAAAACAATTTCACAGCTGATCTAGAAAACACAAATTTATTGGAAGGACTTAACGGGACTAGGCGAGTAAAAGAAAAAAGAAAATGGTTTTCTCGCGCGTCTTAAAACCGCATTTTAATTTATAAATCATTATCGATTACACTGTAGCAACATAACCAAAATACATCTACTTTTTGTATTTTTATCGTTGAGTCCAAGAAGTATGTACTATATTTTGGTGGTCGTTTCAAAAAGAAAGATCCAATTTGTTCGTACAGTGTACGAATGGTTGTTATGATATGATCAATGTGAAGATAGGGAAGGAGGCTAAAGCTCCTTAACCGTGACATTAACCTTTTAAATTCGCTTAGGTCCCGGGGCAAAACAATTGTATGAAAGATTTATCCGAATAATTCGGAGATATGTTATTTGCAAAGTGCAAGTTATATTTAATAAAATATTTATAAATAAAATGTTTTACAAAATCAAAATACAAGTAAAATTTGTCGAAAAATTGGCGTACAGTGGTTTTACCCCTTGACCGTTCTAAAAAGTCTACAGCCCATTTGTGCGAAACATGAAAATAAATGACAGTATTTTCTTATGTTTTATTTTACTTGTTGCGACAGAGAGCCAAGCGATCACGTGGGTCGTTTGGCAGTAGAAGCGATTTTTTTTTCTTAAATATATAATATAATATGATCTTCGAGTAACGTTTAATAACTGTATAAATAATTACACGTTTCGCATCTTTGTTTCGCACGGACGACCAGACATTTGTTAATGGTTTTTTTCGATGGAGCGATAGTTAAGACAGAAAAATACTGATTTTTTTTTGTTATATAATTCTTATGAAAATCCATCTTGGTCGCTACTTAACCCGAGTATATAGTTTTTGACACCTAGTGGCCTACCGGTGGCAGTGGCGGCGACGGTCGACAATTATTATTATAAACTGCGCGGGTACTTACTATTTTTTTTTTTTTTACTCGTACTCGGTCGGAAACTGGACGAGGAAAATAAAAACACTATCGACGGTCGTCGGGCGGTTCGCGCGTTTACTAAAAAAAAATACTCGTATAAATGTATTAAAAAAATATTATACTAATAAAAAAAATAATAATAACATTATGATTGTCGACCGGCGGCGGCGGCGGCGGTGGCAACGGGCACCACAACCCGGCGGCACACTTGTAACATAACTGTCCGTGTGTGTTGGTGTGTGCCGTAATGCACTATAGGCAAACACACACATATACATACACACACACACACCATATAATATAGAATCCAGCATGGCGCGGTGCACGCACAAGACGGTGGCCGCCGCCGCCGCCACCACCACTGCGCCGTCTTCGACACCGGTTATAATATTGTACACACACACACACACACACAGATGATGATGCGACGGCGGTGGTAACGTCGTTCTCTGACAGACTTACACACACACACACAGTCGTGCGTCCAGACGTTCTCAACGTTATACCACCGAGTTCGAGTGCACTGGCGGCGGCGGTGGTGGGGTAGCAGGTAGAAGTGGTGGTGGTGGTGTACTTGGAGGAATTTGGCGTGAAGCGACCAGACGAGATAGCTCAACTCTGGGACGGGGGGAAGGAGACTTTGTCAGTTGGACGACTGAAGACCACAAAAGGCTCTTAAGTTTAATCCGCTAACCTAACAGACTGAGAGGGGTGGAATCGACGATAGTCATTTCGCCTTCTTATCCAGCCCGCATCGTTTATTCAAATACAATAGACAATGTTCAAAAAACAAAAATCCACCTTGTCCCCGAGGCTCACAATTAACAAATCTTACCGATAATAACCGACAATATTACAACAAATAATATATGTTATCAGAATCCTAACTACACCGATCCTAACCAAACCTAACGTAGCCTTACCCCTTATCACTGGTATTTAACCGACGGTTCACGGTTAAACTGATTAAGCTGGCAGTTAAAATACACTTCCTTTGACGAATAAACTTGACGGGTATTTCCTCCACCCCTCAGTGGTGTAGTTTCCGCGGGTACAAGGGGGATAGCTGCCCCAAAGTGCATTCTAATTTAGGGCTACGGCTTATACTTTTATAGCGACCCGTTTACGAATGGACCCAAAATGTATAATACAATCTAATATGGCGTCAGGTCTAAAACAGCGCTGCCAAAAAAAATGATACGCTTCGGTCTATCTATTTACGTTTAAAATATGTACAAGTGTCAAGTTTATATAATGTGAAACAAGAGCAATTGAAAAAATACATTTCTGATGAACAGATCCTGTCCATCGTCGAGTATAGAAATAAACAAATTGTTGATAGCCCGAACGTGAAAAATGTTTTAGCTCAACAATAAACTAAACCGTTCTGAAAATAAACGAATCTATATTATATTAAAAATCACAGCATAATAACTTTGGGTTTGCTTATATGTGTACCATTTTCCAAAAGCGTGACACGCAAAGGAAAAAAATACATACAAAATTGAGCCATACTAGTTATAGTACTTACAATTATTAGTTATTAGTAAGTACCTGTTTTTCAATGAAATATAAAACGCGATTAAAGGATCGTCTAAACCTATGATTTTATCATTAAAGGATTATCATAAAACCAATTATTGTTATTATTTTACTTAAACAAAACGCTCTATGCGAATCTGTAGACACTGGACCAAACTTTGCTGGCTTGCAGATTCGCATCGAAACGTTTGGTTGATTCACACTGACATTCAGATTTAATAATTGACATGACCCAACTTTGCTAACTTCTTCCGTACTGATTTATACGGTACTCGGCTTGGTCTGTGCAGTTTTTTTATGACGAATAATGACTACGCAAATTTTGACTAGCCCTCCAGCCATAAATCATACAATATCCATGTCAAAACAAAATATGGTCGTGGAGTCTGCAAATCTTTACAGCACACTCTACCCTATAAATAGTATGAGGAATGTATGTATGTATAGGCGTTATTAGATAAGTGTACCTATCTCGATTGTGCATCGAAGCCTGCACTCGGGGGAACGACAACGACAAATAAAAACAAAAACAAAAACGAAATAAATAATAGCCGCAGGCCGTGATCATCTACGCCCACTCGCGATGCAATATTGTTGTATGGTCTCCGTGTGGCGGCTTACACACTAAACCGGAGCTGAGAGCTCTATAGACCATACAGTAAACAGAGAGATAGTTTTTCTACAGCTTCAATTACAAACTTACAAGCGCGGTCGGACATGTTTTGATAAAAATCAAACCGAGAATTCCACGACGAACAGTGTTGTTGTAACGCTGCGAGACAATAGCCCACACGAGTGGCAAGTGGCAACGGTTAACCTCGAACGGTTCAAATTCGTTTACAAATACAGTAAGACCAACAGAGTGGAGACAAATTTGCCACACATTTATTTTGACTAGAAAATTGCCAATAGTTGGTGGCTCTATTTACCGGTAAAAAAAATGTTTATTTGTTTCATTTTCCGGAAATGTTGAATACAAAACAAAAAAATGTTTTTTGAAAGATTTTACTATTGTATCTATCTATTTGTTAAATGGTGAATGGAGAAAAATGTACATTAGCAATGTAAATTAAAAAATACATTTCAAAGAATAATTCAAGATTATAGCGCTCGCTATTTTTTTTTACTTAGCTCCACGCCACTACCGTGTCGCTGGATTTATATATGTATATATATTTTAAATTTAAATCTGGTTTCTCCTAGAAAAAAAAAAGTTGTTATGCATGTGTAAGGTGCCATGACATCGAATCGTTATTTTTTTAATTTTATTGGTTCGGCTTTCGAGTATTAAATTATTGTAGTTTAAAAATCATTAAAACTATACGTTTTACAGGTAGACTGGTAATAAAATTGAATTTTCGAAGATTCAGGATTGTTTAAAAAATATTCAAAACTCAGGCCGTGAGACTGAAAGAGTGTTTTAGCATACAAGTTTTTATAATGTATAGTTTAATTGCGCAATAAAAATTCTATAGGTCATACTAAATAACCATAGTTTTTGTCCTTTCTGAAATGCTTTCAAAAATTTAAGCCTTAAGCCCAAAATTAATTTTTCTTTGTTCATTTCCATAATTATGAAATCGTTCCTCTTTTTGTAAAAAAAAAACCCCTAATGGAAAAAAACTAGAAGATATTACAAGTACTTTGGCTATGGGAATTCAGAAGGCGTATTAAGAACTTGACAGGACATATTACATAGCCTAACATGAAATTGTTCAACAAATTTAATTCGCTTATATAATTATGATAATAATATTACCAAGAAAATATTGTCATAAGCTTTTTAACATATGCAAGAAGTACATTTAAAGCTTAGCCAAATCTACGTACAAATTCAAACAAGAATTAAATAACAGGTGGCCTTTTGGCCTTTTGAACATGGAAATCTCAAATCCCTATGCCAATGACTTTATAGACCTTTAAGCCCGTAGTGTGAACTTGGAGAAAATGATCAAAAAAGCCGTACTTACTTATAAACATTTATAATATTATGTACTTATTATGCTGTAAATAATTCGTTTTTCTTATCCGTCCACGATCGCTATTCCTTAGTTCAGCATAATATATTGTTACATCATGTATGTAAGTTACATGTATGTATACTTAGAGTGTAATCTTAACTGTGTTGAAAATTCTATCTAAAAGACATTCACCTCGCACATATTCATTTTTCTTTTTATAACTGCCATTAGGTATTTATTTTGTCTTTTGGTAAAGCTTTACTTTGAACGCTTTATTTCCATCTATTAAGGCTACAGTAACAGTCTAAAAATATGAACTACCATAATAGTGCATAATATATAAACTCACAATAAGTTGATTAAAAGTTTAGCAAAAAAAAATAATTTTTTATAAGCCGTCCTATTAATAAACATACATAAAACAATTAAATAAATTACTATAAATACCTACTTTTTTCTAATAGCATTTGAAACACTATTAACTAATGGAACAAAACATACTTACCAATATTTAACAAAAGTTATTTTAAGACTGATTTTAGTATTGTCTTTTTGCTTAAGGGTAAATGGTTAATAATTTGTAGCAGCAATAAAAACGAATAATACATTTGTATGAATAATTCACGATTTTAACGTTCAACATTTTAAATACTTTTATTTATTTTTATTAACTTTTAATTCTGTTTTTTAATTTTGAGTTGCTGTTTTTTTTATTTATTTAATTTTTAAATTATAGTTTAAAAGTCCTTAAAGACGGTTTTTGTGATCTTTAAAAAAAATTAAAAATATATAAACTAATGTCTCGTGTTTATATGTCACTCTTCAAAACAGAGTGGTAGTTTCAAATTGTTGAATTTAACAAATCAAATAGTGAAAAAAAATTAAAAAAAAAAAAACAATTGTACTGATTTTTTAACACATTTAAAGATTTTTGAGTCGATAAGATACATTGATAGGTACAACGTTTTTTATTTCAACTGCTGCATTTTCTTATTTTTAAATGTACTTTGGCCTATCATCAGCTAGACCTTTATGCATTATATATTGAACGAAACTAATTAACTTCTGAAAAATTGGCTGATGAGAAAAATACACATAATATGATTTCCTGCCGATACACTAAACGCTGTTTATGTAAATTATTATAATACCTTCCTGGTAAGTCCTACCGCCAGACGCAAGTAATTGTTGCCACCAAGTATACACATTGTAATTTATACCTACTAGATGGTATTACTTTTCAAAATGCGTTTCCTAGCAAAGTATGCCCTACAACATTTCTAAAACGCAATAACAACATTTTTCAACTGACTTATATTGTTGTATCAAGAGAAAACGTGATGAAAGTCCACACGGCCCTACAAGATTTGACCAGCATTATCAGGTCTGGGTTATTAAGACATTTTTTTTTGTCAAGTATTTTAATAGGTATTGAGTGTCTCACTTATTTAAAAGATTAAAATTAATAGAAAGGGTTAATGATATTTTTTTGTATTCATCAATCGATAGAATTTGGTCTAAAGAATAATCCATACAAATTAGGAATTAATTAGAAAATTTTTAAAAAAATTATTGCACACGGTAATATGTCAACTATTGTAAGGTGTTTTTCTGGATTTTGAAGGGGAGGAGTTAAATTTTTTATTTTGTATTGTTTTTTTTTCCAAACGAGGTAAATAGGTATATATTTTTTTTGTGTTGTTTTTTTCCAATCGACGCCCAAAAACCGTGTCGGAATTCCTTCTCGGATTACTCTCACACCTAATTCATATACAGATGGCTAGATATCGGTCTTAATCGACCGATCGGTTATATACTAACCACTGGCGTGCCCATCACAAACAGGTCCACCCCTGCAGTCGTCCAGGACTTAAGGTAGGTACCCGCCTAAGGCGAGATTACTACACAGAGATTCTTATTCCTTATCGACGAGTGAAATCACCAGAGTACCTTCACATTAAAGTAACATAAAACAAATTAGGCTTACACCTATTCAAGTCTCTTTTGGAAGCGTTTATATTTATTACTTAGTATTTTGATAAAAAAAAAATCTTGCCAACCGTTTTGGTGGTCAGTTAAAATGTCCAAAAACTTACGAAATGTCAAGTTGAAAGATTTCTTTCAATATTTCAACTTATCCAATTTCATTTATTTAGCAAAGGCACATAATATATGGATGGAAGTACTTAAAGCTCTTAAATGTAGTGGATATGTGACATTTAACAAGTGTTATCAAACATATAAAAAAGTTTTTTTAGAACTGTAATAATATACGAATTATAGACTTTTGTATATATTAAAAATATAGCTAATATTTTTGTAAAACTTCAATAACGTTGCAGCCATCCGAGCCTTCCAAATGGGCCCAGACATTTTTTTTTAAAGTGACTAAGAGTGGCTAGTTTCCATTTATGTTATGGACATTTTTAACTTAGAACCATTGTTTTGGTGCAAGATAGATAAAAAATCGTTCAACCCAAATTTCCTTCTCAAAGGTTTAGTATTTTTAAAAACTTTTTTGTCCATACCGAGAAATCTTTTTTTGATGACAAAGTGTCGTAAATAAAAAACACACAATAGAAAACAATGTACATATTAAAAAATAGGTTTTTTATTAGAAAAAAAAAATACTTTTCACATTGACAAAATGTGTAGCGTTACGTCGTTTTATTAATTGTTAATCGCTCGATCTTATTACTTTATTTAAGTGATATATATGTATAAAAAAAAACCATAAATAATATATATAACACCCAAAATGGTAATTTTTTTTAGTGATAATTCACAAAAATAAAATAATAATTCCGAGTCTATCGTTACGTCGACAATCCGATAATAACACAGTCGAATCAAACATTTTGATACTTTTTGTCTTAAACTAAGGCGTCACGTAAATTTAAATATGGCTAAAAAATTGTTTTTAAAAAATAATTATAATAATATAAAAATAAATATATATTCATTACAATACACATAATATGAGGAATCTTATCCTTAATAAAAAAGTTTACATAATTAGGTTTACAATAAATACAAATTATTATAATTCGTCTACGAGCGCTAGTAATGCGCGTTTAATACTGATTCATTAATTAAAATGGACGGAATTAAATCTATTAACTTAGATAAAAAAATAATTAGTTCACGTGCTTACAGGTAATGGCAGTCTTGATAAAAAACGGTTTATCGAACAGAAAATAAATCAACGTCTTGGGACGTTAAAAAAAAAAAATTAAAATTAAGAAAATACAACTACCAGGAAATAAAAAAAAAAACAGAGTAGCGTGCGTAAAAAAACATAATTTGTCTAGAAATAACGGTCGTTTTGTTATTGTTTTTAAAAAATAAGGAGTTCGATATTCGGCGATTGCATCTCATAGATAACTCTGTATTGGGTGTAGACACACAGCCAACAGTAAAACTGTAAAAAAAACGAAATTTTTGTTTTTATAAAAATGAACACAACAAAATTGTTTATTTGTTCATCGATAATGTTTACGTACTTGTGTGGCAGCTACGATCCAATAAATAACTGCGGCACAAATCATATGAATCTAAAAAAATAACCACGTACCATCCATTATTTGTTAATTGTTTCAAATGACGGAATATAAAAAAAAAAAAATTACAGGGTTACCGATAAACCTTTAATAATTCTGTAAATATTTTTTTAAATTTTTAGTTGCTTTTAAAAAAAAGTTTTTAATATTAACTACTTACGTAAATGTAATATCCGTATAAAAGCCAAATGGACCACAGCAACAGGAATATAACGACGAATCCCATACCGATTAACCACGGTAACAAGTACCCTCGTAGATTGCTCTTGAGACCTCTGAGCAACAACAGCGCAGAACCGATCATGTAGGCGAAGAACAGTAGAGTGAACACCACGTAGGTATTTAGTTCTGTAAAATGAGAATAATGCAAGTGTTAGTTTGATATTGACAATATCGTCAAGGAATTTATCAACACCCTCGAGTTATACATTTTCAATTTAACCAAAACTCCTATTAATTCATCAATTAGTCGTCATAGTATAAGTACTACTTGTAGTTTTAGATTTTACATCATAATCTGATTTGTTACTTATCAAATTGTCCAATTTTAGAAACATTAATTATTATTAGCTTTTTGTTTATTATCAAGTTCACCGATTTTTCTGTTTTTGGACGTAAGATCACAATCGATCAGTTGAAAGAATTATCTCATGGTCTTTAATTATATTCACATTATTTGTTATACATTTTTAATCATTTCCGACCAATGAAAAGACAACACTTTTATAAAACAAAAACTCTACTGCTATTAGTTATAATTTGAATTGTATCTAAATGCATTAAATTAAATAATTTAATTAATTTCCATTAGCAATTTTGGACTTGTGTTGATATAGTAAGTTTTAATTTTTCATTAAATATTGTGTGAAAACATATAAATGTCATAGGCATTTTTTAAATACATATAAATTGAAATAAAAATTCAATTATTGTTTTTTTAAATTAATTAAACACTTAATTACCAAATAAAAAAACCACTTTAAAATTTTTTTTATTATTTGAATGGAAATGAAAATAAAAATGTATTTAAATAATAAATCAATGTTTGCATAGCATACAACAAATTTCTACTTAGACAAAATTTCAAATAAACATAATAGGGAAAAATTGCAAATACATCAAGCATTATTGTTTTAAGTAATCTTACGTGAACAAGATTAAAGAATCTAAATATTATAAATAAGGTTCACATATCGTGTTTCCCTTTTTTCCTTCCGCAACACTGTTTATAATACTACTATCAATTGCAATCTCTATACTTCTCATTGTTTTTACAGGATCCAATTTCGTACGTCTAACTTTGATATATTTCTCCGACATTTTAGACAGACTTTCTCTTTCTAAATATTATTCAACATTATTTATTTGAATGCTCTTGATTTAAACTCTCCAAATTGGTCTTCTGAATTGCACAGGTAAAATATCCAATTCAAAATAAGTAAAACTGAATTACATAAACCGGTTAAGCAAGTGTTAACATACTTTTATTCCCAAAGTCAAGAAATTTGTAACGAGCTAAACTGGTTAAGATATCGCTTGTAAACGTAGTATTAGCTGACTTACTACAATAAAATATCATACACTTACCACTTAAATTTGTTTCAAAAAAAGGATTGTACATTTGAGTTGTTTCGCCTCCATTTTGCATATGAACAATTAACGCCATCAAGAAAATGGAAATCGCCTAAAAAAATATTTTATTTTAATCAAATAAATTTATAAAAACTTTATACACTTACAATGGTATAGGCAGCGACGAATTTGCATCCTGTTTTGACGTCAGGATAAACGACGATTGGCGTCCAAAATGTTTTTAAGAGAGTCATATTCTTGAAAAATTTTTACTGAAAAAATTTTAATTGATTCGTAAAATAATATGTTAATAATTAACTAATTTTTAAGTAAAATAGTTTTTTTATTGTCGCATAATAAATTACATAATAAAATAACTATTTAATACTAACTATAAACTATGAAGATATTGTTTTGTGTAATTCGTTTATTAAAAATAAAAATTAAGTGAATACAGTGAATTATTATTGAGAGCCTCTTCACCTGCGTATTATTTTAACAAAATCAACTCATTCTAATTTTAACCTTACTCTGAAACGCGTGGTCCAACAGTAGTTTTAAAAACAGATAGAGATTTTTCAATACTTGCTTGATGTATCAATCAAAGTACATTTTTAATTGTCGTTTTTCATTGTTATTTTGAAAATCATTAAAAATTGCAATAGAAAATTTTACATAAAATTATTCATGAGCTAAAAATAGTTTAAAAATTGCGCTACCGTTGATACCTTGTAAATGTTTGGAAAAATCCAAATGTTTTTTCAAAAAATAAAAAGGACTATTTTTAAGAACTTTCTGTTCGAAGTAGACACAGATGTCTTCATACAAAAATAAAGCCTGTATACATAATAGAAGTTTAAAAAAAAAAAATGTTAATATCAAAACAGATCCCTCTTTTCTGTATTAATTTATAATATGCTTAAAAATTGTAGCTAACCGTTAAGTTTTAGTGATAAATTGCCTACACATAATGCGCCTTAAGAAATACTTGTGTAGAATCCCCTTAAACATTTAAACAACCTATTATACGATATAAGCAAAATATTAACAAATCAAATAACTCGACAGAAATTCAGCACCGAATGGAAAGACGAAAAAGCCATATCATTAAGGCGTGTTGAAAATCTAAAAAAAATGAATAGCTTCTTGCTATTGCATGGAAGTTCAGTGAGCAAAAATATTAGGTATAATAAACAAATCTTGTTGAAGCAATTTTTTTCGGGAACCAAACAAAAAAAAAATACCTCACGTAATAATAGTTTAAAATGACGAAAAAATTAATTTGTTTTTAGTTTTATAGTTAAGTACTTACCTTTTTATTTTTGAAAATTATCTAACGTCGAAGAATCGTTTTTGGTTTTTGGGCGTGTTGTTCAAAACGGGCTGGACACTCGCAGTCGACACTCGACTTGTTTGTGTTTATAACGCGATTCGGGAGAATGGAATTTGGCTCTGTTAAACGTTATCAAACAATGTTGCCAACCGTCGTGCACACACGGTAATCGGGGCAATTGCCAACCTTGTCGCATTCTCCACAAAAGTAAAAAAACCACAACATTTTGAATTTTAACTTTGGAATTGAAAATATTTCCAAATTTGACGAAACGGCGTAAAATACATATTAACTAGAAATTTATAGTGTTTTTTTTTTTTTTTTTACTGAAATTAAACACAACCTAAACGCGTCAAAACGCGCAGTTTGCCGTTATAAATTAATACCGACATCGATATGACGACGCGTAAATCTGCTCCATTGTAACTATTATAATATTTAAGAAAAAAAAAGAAATACTTACGTTTAACGCATATTTCTCTGTAATTTCGGCCGACTGTAAATTTTATATCGTCGTACAATATAAAAGAATAATAATATAATAGTTTGGCGCGATAAAAAAAAAAAGACACGTTCTCGTGTATGGGACATTAAACCCGCGGTTTAATGTCCCATACACATCATAAACCATTGTGCTCTGGGAATATAATAAAAAAAATAATGTCAAACATTATTATTGTTATAGTATAGATGAGTAGCCTATCGACCAAATATCACAGTGTCTTCTAGAACTTTTAGGAATGCTATCACTCAGTGTAACCTATTATTAATAGTAAACAAAAAAAAAACGCTTATAACGGCATACAGCTAAAGTCTAATTCTTTAAGTTGATTTAATCATTTTTAAAAAAATATTTACCATGTAATGTACTATTATATTAACAGGTATGGAAATTAGTCACTTTTTCGATCAGTTAGATTGTAAAAAGATTAGATTTAAAATCGTTTAATAGGACCAATAATTATGAAAACACGAAATGCCTAAATATGTAACAACTAGCAACTCCTCTCACATTTAAAAAAAATTAATAATATCTCCTAAACAAAAAAAAAAAATATTCCGATACAGAAAATAGATTTTTTAACTGCATCTATGCTAATTTCTTCTAAAGGTAAAAAATAGACATTTTATATTTTCCATAAAACAGATTCAAAATTATTTGTTTGCACAATTATATTTTACGGTTTTTTTTACATCTTGACGAGTTAAATTTAAAAAAATATCTTGTCCAAATTTTTATTTTTCAAGGAATGATAACTAAAAAAAGCCAAAATTATTTTGTATATTTTTTTAGGATATTATCGAGGGAAGTATACAATATCGGTTTTTAATTTGTTTTTTAAAGAGACTGGATTCTAAACTATGTCTCATCAAAGAATATATTTTTAATAATTTTAAATTTTGTCGTTATTTGATTTTAAAAAAACTCTCTTGGCAACCTGGTAACTTGATAATTTCATATCAACCAATGTACACATTTTCAGTTGATTATTCTGTAATAAAAACATGTTAATGGTATACGTAAAATGCCATTAAAAAATGTAGCTTAAGTTTATTGGAATGCATGAAAAAAAAATTGAACTATTTCAGTTTAGTTTTATGTACAATAAATGTTGTTTTCATAAAAAAAACTATACAATTGTAATCTTACAATTACAGTGACTATTGATAAGTTACTCGGCATACAATTTTACTTTTTGTGAGTATGGACGGAAACCAGATGGAGATAGGATGATGTGTGGTTGTCACACGACACCGAATAAACAAACACGGGGTTAGAAGATCGCAAAAACTTTTTTTAATTCGTCAGTCCTTTTAGAATTAATACAACGATTTGTCATTTAATAATCTTTGGTACAAAAAACTTGTTTAAAAAAAAAAAAGAAAACAAGAACAAATCTTTTGCGTTTTCATATAGTTTGATATATATCCCATCATTATTATTAAAAAAAAAAAATTAATAATAAAAAATAAACAATTCAACAACATAACTCTAACAGAAAGTAAAAAATAATAAATTAATAAAATAATAATATTATTATCGTTGTCATTCATAAAACACACAAATAATAAAAAATTATAATACACTAGTTTTTTTTAAAAAATTATAGTTTATAATAATAATAATACGTACTCCTTAACAAACAAAAAACTGAAAACTTTATAAGGAACTTATTTTAGAAGCTATCTCTTTATCATTATAATGCACTTGAAACTTATTTATATAATATATTTATAAAAAAAAAAAAAAAGATTCAATTAAGAGTGAAAAATATATTCATGATACATTTAAAAGGCATTTATAGATTAATAAAAAAAATACCTAAAATAAAAAATAATCTGTTATTACGATACTCCGTTATTCACATTAAAAAAAAAAAAAATACAAGAACACACATTAAACTTAGTAATACTTGATATAATAAAAATAATATTTTATAATAATAATTTGCATTGGTTACTTCAATGAATAAAAAGCCTTGCTTTGCTGTAGAGTCTGACTATGCAATTTGCGACAATCGCACACGAGAATGATTCAACACGATGAACTCTTCAGTTCACCCAATTCGGCTAGAAGTCTGTGATTCAAACTCGGGTTCGGACTGGTTGTTTTGACGTTGCCTTGGTATCTTTCTTTGAGCTGGCTAAGAGCGTTCAGCAGCCGATTGTTGGCCGCGTCCAAAGCAGCGATCTGGTGTTCTTGTGCCTCGATCACTCGTTGTTTATGCGTCAGTGTATCGGACATTTTGCGTTGTTCTCGTCTTAGTTCGTCTTCAACAGACATCAACCTACAGACACACAAATGATAATGGTGTTGTGAAATTAAGTACTTGTTTGAAAAAAAAATGAACGATAACTATCAATTGGCGTATTATGTTAAAATTACTGACCTGGCGATAATGTTTTTCATGTTGTCGGGTTCATTGTCGATTACTTCTGGAGAATCCGGTTCACACTCGAGCTGATGTTCTGCCTGTTCCAGTTTCAACTTAAGAATTTGTACGTTTGTCTGAAGACGTTCGATTTCTTTCTGGTACTGTAACGAGAATGCACTGGTACAATATTTATTTAACACAAATAATAAAAATAATAGTAATTACATTAATTTGATCGATATTTCGGTTAGTCTTCAACTTGTTTGTAATATTTTGATTTCTCGAATCTTCGTCTTCTGACGAGTCTTCAGACATGCCGCGGCTGGAATCAATAGACACTCGTCTTCTCAGAGGTTTCTCGGCAGCACAAATTTTTTTAACGTCTAGAGTGTGTTTCAATGATAATAATTATTATTAAATAAGCCACATTAACACAGTTTTGACAATTTTCACTTGTGTTACAAAAATTAATGGAAAAATTACTCAGAGCACGAAAATTTCTTAGGTCTACTTTTATCAGTATAAAAATTAAAAATACAAATGAAAATTGTCATTAATCGTCATTTTATTTGTTGACGTACCAGGCACGCATTTCAAATTGGTACTGGACACGCCGTTGACCTTGTTCGGAGACCATTTCCAAGCCAACGATCTGGCGGTGCCGCCGCCATTGCACTGGGGGTTGGTCCTGGGAGCACGATGCGGCGGCAAGAACCTTGGCGCTACCTGGGCAACTTTCTCATTGGTTGGTAAGGTTTCATCTTCGGACGAACTGCACGATCGCGGCCTCTGTTTTCTCTGGTGATGATGATGATGGTGGTGGTGATGATGGTGTTGGTACACGGGATTGACGAATGCCAACGGGGGTAAGGCAGCGTTGGGGTTAGCCACTGGAGGTTTGTTGTTGTTGTTGTTGGTCAGGTCGACCGGACTCGAACTCTGGCTGTAGGCGGCGAAACTCTGATAACCCGAAGATGCAACGTTTGACAGAGTCGATATGGACATTTGACTGCCTTTCTGTTGTTGGTCCATTTCCACGTCGGAATTATGACCGTTGGTGTTCTGATGGTGATGTGAACCGAAACCGTTGTAAGCTAGGACGGGCTCTTCAGACTTCATCTTGGCACAGAGCTGTAGGTTGGGCGAACCAGGATTGGATGAAAAGAACGCGTTACGGGGCAGAGTGGAAGCACGAGCCGAGCTGGTCGTTGGACGTTTCTCGCACAACAGCGTCGAACTTCCCACCAAGTTGTTAGTGCTGTTCGTCGTTGACCCTTGAATAGAACCATATATATTTTGATGATCTTTTGACGTCGGATCGTTGTACCTAAACAACATTTAAAAACAATAATGGTTTTATTTAAAAAAACTATTTACTCTAAGTACTTGTTTTTTCTGTTAAACCGAGTACCGACCTAAATATATTTTGATGCACCGGTGGCTGGTAAGTATTTTTCTGTTCGATCGGTTGATTCTCGTTGCAGTTCGTCGAAGTCCTTATGCCGGCTGGCTGAGCCAAAGCCGTCTGCACTCTTTCCAGTATTTTATGTAACCTGTCGACCTCTTGCAGACGTACCGGAGATATTTTCTCAATACATTCCAAAAGCAACGTGTGCAGTATGCTCAGCTGTTTGCCGAGATCGATGTGTCCGTCGAACTCGGTCGAGTGATCTTGCGGCGTAGGATAACCATTGGGTACGGGACTCTAAAAAAAGAATGAAAAATTAATATCAAAATAACATATTTGAACTGGATAATAATCACAATTACAGAGATTATTTTCAGGAAAGATTTCATGGAACCAGCTTCACGTTCTAAGAAGTCATTCATAAACTCCATGAAGTTTTCTTTGCCTTGAAACCGCGTGAAGTTGGCTAGCGTTTGTAATGTCTTTGCCACCAACGTCAAGTTCCTGGCCGCTTTTTCGTTCGGATATTCTAAACATGTTTAAAAAATTATTTAGTTTGGTAAAGAAATTTTACAAAAAAAAAATTTAAGTTACAACAAGTTACCATGAGTTATATTGAACAAGCTTGGAGACAGAATGGCCGGACACAAAAATCGCAAGAAAATACAAGCGGATATTAAATTATCACTTATGTCGTGACGACCGGTTTGATTCATGCGTTCTCGGAATCTCGTGAAACATTCTCGGAGTTCACTGGGGAGGGAAAAAAATATATATTTAAATATTAGTATACAATGGTTAAATACTTAAAGAATAACATATTTATCAATAGACACACAATAAGGACGTATCTCAAAAAATATGACCAGAAACTAGTTTGATTCAGTTCTTACAGATGGAGCCTATGTCTTGGGGTAGAGAACAATAAACTGAATATTCAGAGATATACCGAAATGTAAAATACCATTATGTCAAGTATATATTTTTATTTTGAGTTACGGCCTTATAGTGCATTAAACGACTACTTACAACGGAAAAGACGTGTGAGACGACAGTATCCGATTCCAGGTGGTTTCAACAGCGTGCCTCAGATTGGCTTGCTGTTTGGCCAAGTTTGAAGCGCTGCCCGCTTTCAGCGGATCAACTTCGCAGTCAAAGCCGGCCTGAAGTACGTTGGAAACGAGCTCGCCAAGTGTTTCGTGCAAATACTTTTCTCCGGTCAATTTCAAATAGGCCTCCATAGCTTTAGTGGCCAGGGAATTGCCCCTGAACGTCAGCCGATCATCTTCGATCTTCTCGATGTCCATCATGACAATGTCAGACAAAAACTCCTTGGCCAAGTTTTCTTTTTGCATGACGTGCACCAGAGCGGTGGCAATGTCCTCTTTGGCCTTGACCCCGACGACGGGTTCCAAAATTTCACAGATGGTCTTGTAGTCGGTCGTCAAATACTGCAAAAACACAAAATCCAATCGGTTAAAGGGCTTGTTGGAGGCAAAAAATAAAACACTTTTACCTGCAAGAATTCCTGATAGACTTGTACAGGTAAAATATCAACGCTCTGGAACCGGCATTTGACCCTCAACGATGGCGGATCCTTTAGGTTCTTTTCGGTTAGCACCGGATACCACTTTTCGGTGAGAAACCTTGACGTAACGTCGTGCACCGGAATACTGACCGTACCTGTTAAGGATAGTTTTTTTTTTTTTTTAATTGCACATATTATATGACTTAACAGTAAAAACCGCTACAGCCGTTTATTAAAGACTTACCGACTAGGAAGCTCTTGTCCTTTTTCTTTTTTCTCTCTCCTTCTCGGTACAGATGTATGTTGACCACGTTGACTTGCGGCAAACTGCTAAAGTCAAAATGTTCTCCCCAGAAGCACAGTTCGGCCTTCTGTTTGGACGAGGTGCGAGCAAACAGCGTTTTGTCCAAGCACAGCTCGCAGAAGTACCGCTTTTTGTTGACAAGTCCCTTCGCTTCCAGGATCCATATCTTGAGAGCATTCTCTGTGCGGCGTATGTGTTCTTGATCGGGTTGGACGGATTTCCTCAAGCTACACAATTAAAACAAACCGTATATTACAACGTCGGTGGTATTAACCAGCTTAACCTAACAGAATTTGATTTCAATAATCAAATTGCCACAACATAATTTAAAATTAACTCAAATACCTAATTTTAATGCTCTCTTAAAAAATATATGATAACGTAATTTTTATGCTTCTATACCTGTACACCCATTTGTCGCGTTCTTCGGCCGTGCGACACGAGAAGTATCTGGTGTTGCCAGCTGGCAAAGTCACTTGGAAACAGTTTTCCCTACCCAGCACGGACGGGTGCAGTGGCTTAATTTCCACGCCTCCGCTGCTCAAGTCCAACGACTGCATGATGCTCTGCGATTGGCCGGACAATAGGGACTCGTGCGACCGGGAAGTCCTGAGCCGAGGTTCGCCTGGACTGACGTTTCTACAAAAACATAACTGAACTTAAGCATTGTAAATTACAATTTTAAATTTGAAAAATATGTACATTTGTTAAATTTTGGGTTTTTTTCCTCTAGGATTCGAACGAAAAAAAATGATTTATGTTTTACTTTACTTATTAGCATTCCCATTTTTCCTCTACACCTCAAACATTTTACACAAGCTGTACTCACCCTTCGTTTTCCAGAGCTTTCTTCCGTTCCAGTTTGGTCACGCTTTTGGTCCGTTTCAAAGGATTCGACCTGAACGACCGTTTGGAAAAGAAGTTCTGTCGACATGAAAAATAAAAAAAATACACATATAAATACATTAGAAAAAGCAAATACGGATTAACCGCCCGTGCCAACAAATCTAGCCAAGTTGTTTTTTACCACTGTTTTTCACACAAGTGTTACCCAAAGTATAAAAATGATATATACTTTTGTACATACATTAGTTTATAAAAATGCAATACAAATTCAACATCTTCCAAGAGTTGTAATTTAATAAGCATTTTCAATATACACAAATATTGGTGGTATTTTTTTATTTTAGGTACGTTAGAATAAATAATCTCATTTATCGAATTGGAAACATTTGCTCAAACATTCTACACGTACTTAACTACATTTGGGGGAATTTGGGATGGCAAAAAGAAAGGTTGTTTGGGAGGAGATACACATTAATCGATTTTGCTGGTTTAAATTGCTATGGTACAGATAGACCGTTTAAAGTTAATAATTTCTAAAAAAAAAATGATAGAAACAACCTTATTGCAACCTTATAAATACCTTATTTTGACACCAAGTACTACTGTTGATCATAATTTTCATACTTGGCAACATTAATAAAAGGGATAAAAAAAAGAAACTTACTGAACGACTTGACATTTTTATCATTTTTACCAGCGATTTACTACCATCAGTCGCCGCCGCTGCTTTTTTCTCTCTTTCATTACTCATTTGAAAGTGCGATAGTAAAAAAAAAAAACTACGACAAATACTTTTAACTTTTTTATTTTTAAATATGTATAAAAAAAATGTTCAATGAATTTAACACTACCGCAGTGTCAGAACGGTTGTCGCCGAATGTACGTGTCAGTAGAACACACTCCAGTCTTTATCTGCCGACCTGTCAAGTGTAGTTCAGTATACTTAACAACCTAAAATAATTACTCAAGGGTCAACCGAACACGGCCAACGCAATCATCGAAAAAAAAATAAACGGATCGACGGCAATTGCGCGGAGATAAAACAGCAATAGAAAAATATACATAATAATAACAACAACAATAATAATATACCGTCCAAGTAGGAATCTGATTCTGATGCGCAAATATTTTCAATGGCCCCCTCCTTCAAGGAAAAACAAAAAATCTACATAATAGTAGAATCGACGGGCAATCGTCAATGGACTAACGCTGATAAAAAAAATGTAAAAAAAAAAAACAAAAAGCCGGACTCTAATTTTCCAGTCTTCTTATGAATAGCAAGCCGAGTGGTCAGTCTAACATCCACCCGATATTCATTCGTTTCTAGCCAAAATTCCAGTTCAAGCCAGAACCGCCATGTCAAAAAAAAGGTTCATTTTTTACCTTTGATGTGAAGCTGTGAAGATATTTTTTTGTTGAGTAATATTTAACAGAATAATTAGCTTCAGTTAAATGAAATTTGACCATACTTTTCTAGTTGTCATGCACTTGCATTTTTTTTTTAACTAGTTCCAATATGAATAGATGTATATTAACAACTTTAAATCTTCTTTTCTTTTTGTCTCAACATATTCCGTACAAATGGAGTCAGCCGATCTAATCAACCCCTCCATATAAATCTCACCCATCGCCATTCTTTTATCACGTCCTCTATCCATCCACTTATTTTGCTTTTAAGCATTTAAATTTAATCTAAAGATATTTAAAACAAAACGATTACAAAAAAATTGTTTATGAATTGACAAAACTAAACTGTAAAAAAAGCCAACAAAGATTTTGCAACGCCAACAGAAAGATTATAAGATTTCGTAAACAAATTGCCTATACTTTACTCCTTAAAATGAACTGAGTGGCGTCCTCTTTAATAAACAACCTAGTATGCATTTTGTCTAACGAAAATGTTTTTCTTTTTTCCCAATGGGTTCAGTTGGACACTTTAACAATTCTGTGTACATCAATTTGTTCTCAACGAATATCTGCCTAATGGTGGTTAATAGAAAGCTTATGCATACTTTCATTGTAAAAAATATAAATTCGACCTTGTCAATTGCTGTTTGGCCTTGGCGAGACGTTGATTCCAAACGAACTATTTAACGACAATTATTTAATAAACGTCTCTTCTTTTTGAACGCGTCACTATGATAAAATATAGCCTAGCCATAGGCCTAGCCGAGCATTCACAACAACGTTCGAATCGATTAAAAACTTAAAAAAAAAAAAAATAAACAACCTGTTTTACTCAATCGACAGTTTTATAATACTATTTTTCTACGATAATTATTGTATTCTATTTATTGCCATGAACTAATCGTGTAAATTGGGACTCATTTGCAGGATACAGATGAATCATTGTCTGTCCGTTTCAACATATACATGTATGTATAATAATAACGATCGTCGACAGTGCAAACGTCATTCAACGGGTACTCGCAGAAGATTCAACAGGTATTTTTCTAATTTTCTACTTATTAGTCTGTCCGAGTCTGTCCTATTTTTTTAGCTCTAACTTTCTTTTCGCCGACGGTAAAATCGATTAACCGATGCACAGCACAGCGTCTTTATACCGACTGACTGGTTCCGCGACGATTGCATTTTACCATGATGATAAAAGCCTAAACAACTACCTAAAGTGTACACCGTGTACCGGGGCAATAATAATTATCCCAGTGCACACATATGGTGTCAACAGGTTAGTGCAATTAAATTCTAGTAAATTGTTTGAACAAAAGCTTACAAAAACGCGTTGGAAGAGTCGAATTTCTCCGCCGACGAATGTGTGATATTTTTGAAATCGAATAATAAAAAACAACAACGTTTGTTCGAAAGCCATTTAATTTAGACGGTTCACTATGAGACTCGTGCCCGTCAAAAATCATGAAAAGAAATTTTTACCTTCATTACCATAATATTATATTATTATGTGCCTAATGCGCGCGCGTGGACGGGTTTCCATCGAACAGTGTTAATATATTCAACGTTTCGGTTCGTTGCGCAAAGACTATAATATTATTATTAAAATAGTCGATGCCTAAACTTGTATATTTTTTCCATGAACATATAATAATATAACGATGATAAATAGGCCGAGTAGTAGTGATACATTTTTAAAAAAATCATCAGTCACTTTTCTATCGTTTTGTCGACTACATCCGTTCACTTCCGAAAGATAACCGTTTACATAACCGAAGAATCGGTCGAAACCGAAAGCGCGTTAAATAAAAAACGCGAAAGTAAAATTTTGACATAATCAAAAAAAACAAAAATTAATAACGAAGACGTTTTTGATTAATGTGTCTCGTTGACCGTCCATCCTTATTTGCAAGCTGGGCACAAGCAAGAACTTCATTACTTATCAATTATCATACAACACAATTTGGTGAAATTACACAAGCACAGCCTATTAGATAACGTTTGAACGTCATAAAATCATTTATAACGCAATGTGAAGCTTTGTAAATTGTACACCAATGTAGATTAGAGTAACTGGGGGGGGGGGGGGTAAACATCACACGGTATAAGAAAAGGAAAATGTCGAGACGAGGAAAGCTAAGGACACGTGTTAAATATTAGAAATATTTCTGGATGATACATTTTATTTCTTGCTGGATATGATGAATTTCGGATTAATACTAAGTATTTCGGGGTAATATATATTATGTTCAGTTCCAGGATCCATTCGATGAATTTCTCATCAATAAGATAAATTTTTAAAGATGAATTCGACAAGTTTTGCGATACGAAGACCAAACTCTCGCCAAACATCAAAGTTAAAAAAAGAGTTAAATAAAGTTAAAGAGAAGGATTCTATTATGTACAAGAGAAGGACAGTCGAATATAAAATGAGAAAAATCTCCAACAGCTACCTCATCATGGAAATGACAGAAAGGAACGGAATTAAGGGAAAGTTTATAGGCAAAGTAGGGTAAAAGATTATGACCGACTCTGAGACGTGAGAAATTACAGATTCTTAGTCTACATAATAATATTAAAATGTACTGCTCACCACAATTCTGGACGGGGTCAGCTCCAACGATCTGGTGTTGCCCAGCACTGGCGTGGTGGGCGCACTTCCTCGGCGACAGGCTTTTTCGTAAGACGTATCTGCAAACACAAACATTTACACAAAATGGTCAAACGCAATTTTACACTTGAGACAACAATTTTCAAAAAAAAAAAAAAAAGACTCAAAAAAGGCTCTGCCGCTGTCACAGCAATACCGTGCGCGATCGTACCGTATGTATTTATAAATTTAAAAAAAAAAACAACGCTTTCGTATCGGCGACGTAGGCTGGCGAACGGTCGGACGGGCGAAAGCCGAATGATACTCATCGAGAGAGAGATATAGAAAGCGAAGGATGTGCTAAATAAGAAAATCATAAACACTCGGCGACCGATTGATCAACAACGTCGTCGTGATTTCTCCCGCCATAAAAAAAAAAACCCTACACGGACATCAGCAACAGGTGGCCGTGTCCAACAGGTGGCGTTTTCACAAGCTTTTCCGAGACGACGATGTACATTAATAATTATACAATGTGCGCCTACACAATATGTCGACCACGGTGTAGCCTCATAGGCATTGCGGCGACAATACAAAAGCAAACGACTATGGTGATCAATAGGAAACGATAATAATAATAATAATAATAATCATCGACTACTGCACTGAGGAGAGGAGCGTGAACCTATTGTTGTAACGGGACGTCCGGCGACAAACACGGGGGACTCTGTGGCGTCGGCGGGACCCTCGAGGAAACTTATATAAGTTATTATAACATTATTGTTGTATTAGAGCGAAGCACGAGATTTTCATGTGCGCGATTCCTTAGTGTACAGTGCGTGAGTAACAATACCACACAATAATAAGACACTATACTGCAAGACGACGACACCGAAGTGATAATAATATAATGATGACACCGACCGGGCATCGTGATCTCAGCTCGGGCGCTGAGAAATGGTATTTTTTTTTAGTTTACAGTACTTTAAAAAAGGAAGAGGGTTTAGTACTATTTCCTTTGTTTTAGACTACACAACGGTAGTTTGCCATAAATGCAAAAAAATACTCCAACAAAATATACGGAACTATTGAGACAATTTTTTTGGTTAGTAATAAGTTAATTATTAGACAAAGGGGTTATTTTTAAATAGTTTACGAAAATGGTTAGTTGTGTTATTAATGTAATGTTATACATTTATTTTATTTTAGACAAACAAATTGTAATTTGTCACTTTGAATTGACCGGTAAATACTATTTAAATATTTGTAGTAAAGTACATTTAATTTTTGTAAATAATTAGATAGCCAAGGAGCAATATTTATACACCTCACTCTGCTAATTCACACTTTAGCAATAATCCCAAAACTCTTTCATCTAACGCGGAAACCCTTTTAAAATTTGTGATTTCACATACGTTTTTGTCCTCACCTTTCAAATATATAAGTCAAGGACGTCAGAAAATGATTTTTTACATAACACACGTTGTCGTTAATTGACAATATTTTTATAAATTAATTGTTTTCCTTTCTATCTCATTTGGGTTCTTAAATTTGTATAGGTACTACGCTATTTCGTCAGCGTTTTTTTGTAATTGAATAATTACAATAATAATTTTACTTACACCGCTTTGGTGTATATTTTGTACTATTCGTAGCTGTTCGTCTACCGTGTTGTATATAGTTATTGAAAATTTAACACTAAATTTGTAATTTAATTAGATTGTAATGTTGTCTTCCAACTGGAATAGCACACGCAACAGATACGACCAATGGCTATAGTAATCATTCAAGTCATTTATATATTTCGTCATTGCCGGTAAAATATAATATTTTACTTCACTTTATCGCCTTAATAAAATTCCCCCCGCGGTTAGCAATAAATGCAGTGACAGTATAGTTTGACGCCACTGAAAACGTGTCATAATAGCAATTATTTTTAAAAAACTAGACCTTGACACTGGTTTATTAATCGTTATTAAAAAGACACTACTACCGCGGTATGGCGAACACACCGAGTTTAAATAATAATAATTTATATCAACCATCAGATTTGTGTTTTTCAACTTGGACAAGGGCCGAGTTGATTAGTTTGATTAACGCCTTTTAATCTTTTTTTGAACCAACGACAATGTTTTTAAAAGCTTTCAATTTAACAAAAAGGAAATATTCGAACAATACAATTATATTTCATAAACGTTAGTTTGAAGAAAAAAAACATTTATCATATTTTTTACATAATATTTTAATATGTACTTAATTAGACCGGTTAAAAAAGTATGTCCTATCTATGACCGGTCATAGACCGCCCGTTGTCAAGCAAACATGTCTTAACTATTATTTTGGACAACATTTACAATGTGTAATAAATTATACTTGGGTAAAATGTTTTAATACAAAAATATATATAAAGGTTACTGTGTCTACTGTTTAAAAGTATTACTACATACCTACTATTTATTTTTATAACGACAAAAACATATTAATACAATCCCACGTAACAATTTAGAAATGTATTAAAAGTAAAATATTATTTAAACATCAATAATTATGTTAATAGAAATTCTGGTCAAAAACTATTTTAATATTTTTATTTTGAAAAAAGTGAAATTATTTTTAAATGTTTGAATTTTTTCTGTAAATAATATTTTGTACACAAAAACATATAATGTGTAATTAAATATATTTAAAAAAAATGTAAATATAATACAAAAACGTTTACTTTTCAACGTCACACTTTGTATTGTTAAAAATACTATATCGGCGATTCGAAAATAAAATAAGTTTTTTGAGTACTACATATTTTCTTTGTATTAATAAATGGTTTAAAAAATATTATCGTTTTCCAACCGATGTGTTAACCTAACATCGTATGCTGTACATACATTTAAGTTAACTGTTTGGACACGTGTATAATTATTATAATCTAAAGTGTAAAACAAAAACGGAAAATTGCCATTAAACGGTCGTTAAGACCCCACTACAACGACAGTAATATATGACGGATGGACTTATTGTATCGACGACAGAGCTCGGTACCGAGTTAGTTACTCGACAGTTAAAATAAAAAGACTATGTTGTAAAAAAAAATTATCGAAAAAACAGATGCTAATTTTGTAAAGAAAAAAATATACATAATATTAACTGAAGTGTATTAATCATCTATTCGGTAAAAATAATCCTTTTGAGTGGACGTAAACACAAATAGCGATTGCAGCGTTTTGTTTATGGCAGACGCTTTTTTTTTTTTTAATATTACTTTCTATAACGCGTCGTTTTGAGCCGGTTAACGCGATTCACCGGATTCGTTGTTTCGGAACAGGAAATGAGAATTTCCTGGCCAAAAACAAAAAAAAAAATGAAATGAAACGAACACGATCACATCATCGTTGGCCGACCGACCGGGGATGATCCCTGCGCATTGTGCGCGACCACCAAACCGTGTATAATCTACATGCAACCCGCGCAGCAATTGTTGTACAGCGTTATAAAACACTAATTATCCGGTTCGAAGGACCAAAAACCGTTCGGGATCGGAAGAGCAAAGGGAACGAACGGCCGTTGAAAATGGACTGCTGATTCAAATCTGACACCATGGTTGACGTTGAAAAGTAAAAAAAAAAAAAATTAGAAACAAGAGTGTCTGAAACCGGTTTTCTATCCATAATCCTATTCCGTAAGATACGGCAAGCGAGAGGTACACACAAAAACCAGTATCGACCATTACAAACGCAATGTGCATACACACAAACAAACACACACACACAACACAACACAACCGAGACAACAACTACTATACACACGATTAATGAAATAATCTCATTGGCGGTTTGGAAAAAAAAAACTCAAACGAGAGGATAAGTACAAGTAGTAGTGCGCGGTATTATTATTGTGTGTATGTTTATATATAGTACTACGCTTGCGAGGGGCAAAAACTGCACGCGTGCACCGCGCGTTTTCGAAACCAGTCGATACTACTTAAAGCACTGTTTTTCATGATAAATACGGGAAAGTCGTATTAGTACAGCGTTCGTTTAATATTATATATATATATATATATAAATATTGTATAAGTCTAATATACCGGGTCTAGTATGCGGGACGTGTATAAAAAACAAAACAAAACGAAGAAATGGTGAAACTCGACGGAAAGTCACAAAATTCGACAGGAAACCCGTTTGTTGGCATTTTGTATCTTGTTATGAAATGTCCACATCTCTCTGATCGTTAAGTTAACAAGTTTGTAATAGTTTAGCACGCGTAAACAATATTTTTTACAAGACATATGAAAACATGCAATAAGAAATGCTTGTTTAGGAACAACTTTTGTAAACTTTGCAGAATTATAATAATATGAATAATAACGTGTAAATAGCTTTATTTGTACATATTATTACCGACTGATTTACCTACTTCAAATAGAAGATATTTATATTAAAAAAAAAACTGATTTATGAATAGTGTAATTTATGAATGACATAACATTATTCTCCAGTACTCTTTTGTTGAACTCCCTGACCTTTTCAGGTTTACCATGTCTGTGGCAACCCTTAATCTGTACGATGATTCAAATAGAAAACTAACCTAACACAACCTTTTTTTTTAACATTAAAACCTGTTTCGAAACATTTCCCTTTTTGTGTATAGTTAATTCTACTCACTTGATTAATTATCGAAAAATTACAAACTGCTTATTAAAAAAAAATACTACCATTAGATAAAACTTGAATAAACAAGAATTCAAAATGGATTATTTTTTAAAAATGACGTCAAGTAAGTTATTTTATTTATATTTTTACCGGTGAACGACATTTGTTAAAAACTGGTTATATCATTATTAAAATTAGTATGCATATTACATTGTGTTATTATTAGAGAATAGGAAAAAACGCACTTATAAATGCAAAAAGATACAGTACACAAATTATGTCGTGTGTATTTTGTAAGTCGACGAGTCGATTAACGATCAGTATACACTTTTTGACATTTAGATGGAATTTCGATTAATTTTTATCTGGTTTAATAATAACTCCAACCGATGGGTGACCTTTTGACATATTTTGTTAAGTTTTTACGCTGACAACTCTTCTATGGATTTTGTAGT